CTTTCCCCCTATGAGTAGCCATATATCCCACCCCTATGAGATATGCGGCAAAAATACAAGGTTTCAAAAAGTTCATTTTTTAATATGAAAAATAAATATTTCGGATTTCTAGCATTTTTTTCATTGTAGTAGACAGTACAAAGTTTTTACTGATATTATCTTGATCAAAAAGTTTCCGGAATTCATTCAGAAAATTCAAAATACAAGTTTATTCATTAAAAGTGATATTGTCCCCTTCAAAGTACTCCCCATCGACTGCAACGTACTTATGCCAGCGCTTGATCCAGCTCTCGAAACATTTCTGGAACTTTATTGTCAGTATAGCCATTAGAGTCGTCGTCGATTTTTCCATTACCTCTTAGTACTGGTTTTTTGACTCGATCGAACCGAAAAAAATCGCAGGTAGCCATATCGGATGAATTCGATGGCTGTTGGATGGGATTCGTTTCGTTCTTGGTCAAAAAATTTAATACAAACACGTTGTTGCAAATTCAACTGCATTTTTAAAACTGTAAAAAATCGAAAACATGTGCAGAGGTACATGTGCTCAAGACGGTGTAACTTTTACAAATGTCAAGCTATGGCGATAAAATTTGGTGGAAATGTCAATGATAGATGTGGCAACCTAATCAAAAAAACAGAACTCAAATCAGCTGACTCAGAGCATCACCTGGTGGTAATTCCGGGAACTTTTTGATCAAGATAGTATAGTTCGTTTACTATAAACATAGTAAATAATACTTAATAAATTAAGTTTTTGATAGGGGTGCGGCGTATATACCGGAGTTACCCTATTGTAGTCACCCACGCACAAACAATTTACAATCTCATTTTTTATTTTTTTAATCCATACTAACAGTTTAAATTTAAAAATTAAATAAAGCAGAAAATTAAACTATGAACAGATTTTATTATGTCCCAATTTTATTAAACATGATTTCTTAAATAACGAATTAAAATCGATTAGAAAAATTCAAATAGAACGACAAAACTGCAGCTTCCTTGATTTGGAATTGACACCATTTTAGATATAAAATGTGTTTTGTACGATCACATCCCGATTAATAGTGTGTACACGAACTGTCAGACTTATCGACTATCAGCTAACATTGCAAAGAAGTGTCTGCAATGTGTCAGCGCAAGCGCACGTCTCGCAACCTTGCAATCAATGCCGCGCGTCCGTTTAGTCTACTCTTCTTGCAGTCTTTGGCAGAACCTGTCACCATAAACATGTCCAGTATACACGATAAGTCCGCGAGATCACGCAACTCCAATTATCAGCAAGACATTCGATACGTTTTTAAGTTGAACAACTGGATTATGGGGTCACTCGGTATTTGGCCAATTGCGATACGAGGTATTGGAAAACACATGTCCAAGATTGTAATCGTGATCTTTAATTTCGCGTTGAGCTTCGCGATAGTGCCTTGCGCTCTGCATATCATTTATGACCAAAAGGATCTCGACGTAAGGCTGCGCCTAGGCGGTCTTGTAGCCTTCTGTCTCACAGCAATGATAAAATACTGCATCTTCGTGATACGTCGTCCTACGATATATCGTTGCATCGAATACGTGAAGAACGATTGGTGGCAGGTCGGTGTTGCTAATAACATATCGTGTTAATGTGAAGTTTGTTACAAGCTGGTACTAAAAATCTTATTTAAGTAAAAAAAGATTAGAAACACACGTTTAAAGTGATCTTGATTTTAAATTAATTCGATCTTGTGATCTTATTATCGTTATTTTAAAAGTACATATATTTTGTGCATTAGAACATATATCTGTATATAAATATATTTAATATAATATAAATCAAAATATACGATTAATTAATCTTTTCTCCGCGTTGCACAGCTAAAACTTTAATTTAAAGAAAAATTACACTGCAAAACTGGTAAACGCTGATCTTTCATTTATCTCGGTAAATAAAAGTTATTAGCAACACTGTGACAGGTGACATACAAGTCCGATCGCGAACTGATGCTGAAGTATGCTACCACCGGTCGCAATCTGACGATAATCGGCGTGTGTTTCATGTACACTGCTGGCATCATTTATCACTTGATTCTGCCGTTCTGTGTTGAGCACAAAATCAACAATCAAACCTTCAGACCGCTCGTGTATCCGACCTATAGTAAATTTAGTCAATCACAAATTAGTCCTATATACGAAATCGTGTATGTGGCTCATTGCATGTGCGGATATACTATATACGCAGTGACAGTTGGTGCCTGCGGATTGGCCGCTTTGTTCGTTACTCATGCGTGTGGCCAAATCCAAATACTTATGTCGCGACTAGAAGATCTATTGGCTGGTAAAAGATTCAAACGAAGCCCGAACAACGTTCATTATCAAATCGCTGCCATCGTAAGAAATCACGTAAAAATAATAAAGTAAGATATATAACAATCCATGTAAACAATTTATTTAAAATTTCGCAATAATTTATCGATATTAAAAATTAAAAATTGCTGTTAAAACTTTAATAATTTTCATCTCAATTTATAAATAAAATTTTTTTAATTCAGAACACATTTATTCTACAATTCGATAAGTAGTAATTGATAAACATAGTAAAAGAAAAATTTTTCTGTTTTAATTTGTGATACTGATGTTAATATTACTACATAAGTTCATATAATTTATTTCTTATCGTTCCACTGTATTATATGTGAATATGATAAGATATGCAACAGTTGAGCTCAATTAATCTCCAATCCATTTCAGTAGGCAGTACCTTTGCGTGTCAGACAATACGCAGATAATAAACATACGCTATTATATGTACATTGTACATTTATCAGCTAATTATATGTTATACTTGCACCGTATATTAACTCTGAGTAAACTGGGTGTCCCGCGAGACTTCTACCAAACGCTTTTTGTAGATAGAGCGAACAAAATTGAGTCGAAAAATCTTGTACCATTTTGCAATTTTCGCAATGGTTAACGAGATATTAATTACTAAAAATTGTTGAATATTGGTCTTCAATAATTTTTTACTCAAATACTAACAACTTTACACAAAAACAGCAAGAGAAAAAATTGCTTATTTTCTTCTCATAAAATTCTGAGAATTTAAAAAAAAATTTTTAACACCATATTTTTTCATGTTGGTAAAAATAGTAAAAAGAAAATATAGTACTAAAAAGTTGATCAAAAGTAATTAATATCTCGTTAACCATTGCGAAAATTGTAAAATGGTAGAGGACTTTTCGACTCACAAGGGAACGGTCAGAACTGTCCCTTGAATCGTGGAACCATAACATTATTATACATGTATGGATTCGGTATCCGATGCTCTTTAATTTTTGTTCTTAAAAATTTTTTTTATTTTGCAACCCTGATATGTGGGGGTGGGGGTTAATTGAAAAATTTGAATTAAAAGACAATGAATACACTATTACATACAGCATAAAATACTGTAAAACTATTGTATAAACTATTTTTTTATACGAGGCATAGTTTCGAAGATATTTGCTGAAAACGAAAAAATCCATTTTCTTCAAGAGTGTGTTTCACCCTCTAAACCTCGAGATAAGCCGCTATAAAAAAATATGGGTCGAATATTTTTTGATGCTCTACAACATATCCAAAGCGCATCAAAATCGGTGAGGGACAGTTCTGACCGTTCCCTTGTCAGTTTAGTCCGCTCTATCTACAAAAAGTGTTTGGCAGAAGTCTCGCAGAAATCTATACCCTGTGTATTGAGTTGGAACAAAAGCATAACGCTCTACGAACTTTAAATTCAAGCTAATGTTCGTTTATCAAAAATTAGCGAAATTTAAATTTAATAGCAGAATTTTGAAGCTTAAAATCTCTACTTTCGAAAGATTTCTGTGAGTTTCTGTGAGTTTGATAATTTTTGCATACATAAATCTAGACAAAATGGGAAACTTTCTTCTCACTTTAGGTTTATCACATGTCCACAAAAAACTTCAAAAAATTTTCAACTTTCTAACGTTAAAACTAAAAATTTTTCCTACAAAATCGTTTTGAAAAATGTTCCTAACATTTTTTATTGAATTATCACCGATTAAATAAGAAGAGAGGACTTTGATTATTCATATCTCTGTCAAAAATCATAGTAATGCAAATTTAAAAAACAGATTCTTAAAGATGAATTTGTTTTATCAATGATATATAATGGTATATATAATTGTCAAATTTTTGTAAAAACATGTAGACATGATATAAATAAGGTAACGTTACGAATTTTTGTTCCAACTTAATACAACTCGTTATAATTAGAATAAGTGAAGCAATGCATTCTCTTTCATATAAACTGGAATAACTTATTCCAGGTTTGGGGCAAAAGTGGAAGAAATTTTACAGGAAGTGTGTTTAGTAGAGTTCACTAGTTCTATATGCACGATATGTCTACTCGAATACTATTGTATAGTGGTGCGCTAACACACACACACATACTAAAGGAAAAAAATTCAATAACTCTTAACGAATTATAAAAAATTATATATGCTATTTAAAATTTAATAGGATTGGACAGCAGACGATAAAGTTAGTTTTACTACTTTTTCTCTCCTCCTTGTGTCATTCTGTTTCAATATTTATATATTATGTTACATCGGTGAGCTTTTTATGGAAAAGGTATATTGTTTCTTTGTTTTTCTGACACGCTATGTTTAATTTCAACAGTGTTAATCATAACTGAGTAATCGTTCGCGATTGGTTTTGCAGAGCACTCAGATTGGATCGATATGCTACATGATTGATTGGTATCAACTATCGCCAAAATCAGCTCGCGGCCTTATATTGATAATAGCGATGTCCAGTCATCCTATAAAACTTACTGCTGGTAGAATGATAGACCTGTCATTAAAATCTTTTAGAAGTGTGAGGCACATTACCTACATTTATTAATTTCATTTCTATCTTTTGACTTTTATTCTTTCAATTTTAAAACAAAATTTGCAATAATTCTATGAAAAACATCAATATCTCTAAAATTATTTGATAATATTCTTATGTAACAAATGTAGCAATAGATTCAGTCTAAAAATTGCAAAAACTTAATTACGGTTGCAGAAATATCATCATGGTGGTTTAATAATGTATTTAATATAATCTTTTTAGGTACTGCAAACTAGCCTGGCGTACTTGAGCTTGCTACGAACGTTAATCATGTAAATTAAGTGACATATATTAAGAAATATTTTGAATTTAATAAACAATAAGGAGTATATACGCCAATCCGCAGGATGTTATCGCAAAATATCTATTTATTGTTTAAATGTAATAACATCCTGCGGTTTAGCCTGTAATTGCTCCTTATTGTTTATTATATATTTTTGACGTAGTTCAAAGAGCCAATTATTATACTTGGTTATTTTTAATTTAATTTAGTTTATTAGTTCAGCACAGAAGAAAATTTTCGTATAAATGTAATGTATGATATTACTTACATTACTGACGGAATAAAACATTTAAGTTTATATCATGTGTGCAGATCTTCACTTTCCTTACCCTATTGTTATCGATGAATAACTTATGATCATCAATCCCAATTTTTGTATTTTTTATACAACGCTTTTTTATACAAAATACATACATACATACATACATACATGCGCTTTTTTACATAAATACATACATACATATAATATATACACTTTTTTATGCAACGCTTGCTAATACAAATAATTTAACTTTGAACAAAATAGATAATGTTAAATTATTATCTTAACTTCATTTTTTAATTTTAACTCCTCTAGTTCCTCAAATTATCGATTAAAAACGAATAATTTAAGCGAATAGGACTTTTTGATCTAAAACCACTGAACGTAAGGTACGTACTGCACGATTATACACTTTCCTATCAATCACATGCACGCGATCTGTCAGACTGTGTTGACAAAGTGGAAGGATGCCTGTAACAGGAGCGCAAGCGCATGTCCGGCGACCTTGCAATCAATGCCGCGCATTCACCTCGTACAGTCTTCAGCGGAACCTGTCATTGCGAACATGGAAAGCCCACAGGACGAGCATGTGACATCACCGAACGTCAGTTATCAGCGGGACATACGGTACATCTTTAAGCCCGGTAACTGGATTCTCGGCTCAATCGGCATCTGGCCTATTGCGATTCGCGGAATCGGGCAATATGCATCCAAGATAGCGATCGTGGTGTGTAATTCTGCATTAGCCTTTGCGATAGTGCCTTGTATTCTGCATATGATCTACGATCAGAAGGATCTCAACATAAGACTAAAGCTCTTCGGGCTGCTAGGTTTCTGCACTACTGCAATGATGAAGTATTGCGTTCTCGCGATACGCCGACCCAAGATATTGCGCTGCATCGAGCATGTGAAGAGTGACTGGTGGCAGGTCGGTGTTAATACATAAAGTGTGTTACAGGATCAATAGACAAAATTTATCAGCGTAACGATGACTAATAGCGACTAATTTTTTTCTCTTGCAAGTTTAAAAAATGCGCGATGTGAGAAACCGACTATTGTAATCTTATTTTTCATGTAATCCGATATTTTGTCAACTTCATATAAACGTCCATTTATTTTATATTGTTAAATGTTCTTTAATCAAATTTATTATTTCAGATTTCAAACTGTATTGTATACATCGACAAAATTTAAATCTATAATTTCAAAGCCTGCGTGTATACTTTTCTGTGTTTACGCAAAACGAATCTCGCATTAAAACGAAACTCATTTTTTAATAATTTTATCTATCCCATAATTTTTGTGATAAATAATGATTATTTTGTCACTTATTTCTTTCGACAAATTGGTTGCTTGCAATTGTGACAGGCGAAATTCAGCTCCGACCGCGAATTGATGCTGAAGTGTGCCACCACCGGTCGAAGACTATCCATGATCAGCGCGACTTCCATGTACGTTGCCGGCTTCATTTATCACACAATTCTGCCGTTTTGCACCGAGCACAAGGTCGACAACCAAACCATTAGACCACTCGTGTATCCGACTTACAGTAAGTTTTTTAAGACGCAGGCGAGTCCGATATATGAAATGGTGTATCTAGCCCACTGTGTGTGCGGATATACCATGTACTCAGTGACAGCCGGATCATGCGGATTGGCAGCGATATTTGCCACTCATGTGTGTGGCCAGATCGACGTGATCATATCTCGACTCGAGGATCTTTCATGTGGCAAAAACTTCGAGCAATTGTCGGACATTAATCAACGAATCGCTCTCATTGTGAAAAGTCATGTTCGAATATTAAGGTAATATAATTACAAATTAATACTATTCTCTAAAATTAATACTATCAGACTCTCAATATAATTAATAGAATTTCGGCTCCTCTCATAAGTTTTTGTCATTTTTTTAAACAGTATCCTAGCAAATAAATATAAAAAATAAGAGCCTGAAGATAAGAATGCCTCAATTTTATATTTTGGTTATTATTGTTATTAATTGTATAAATTATTTCATTTTAATAAAATCAATATGAGTAATGATATTTGCGATGACATTCCTGAGACTCTAAAAAATTCTAAAAAAACGATGAATTTGCAAAAAAATTTAAATCCATAAAACTATGAGAAAGTTTTACCTCTTTACAGCTATATCTATACCTATTACATGTATTTGCATTTCATTTTTAGAATTTCGATATAATAATTTGGGTATGGCTGATAGAATTCAGGCTCTCTTCTCTAAAAAGATTTAAAATTATTTCTATAGAGAGAATATATTTTTTAATATATATATTTTAAAAGAGTTCTGACTATTAATATTCAAATCAATATTCAACAATTTTTTAGTGAAAATTTTCTATTTTATAATATACATAATTTTTCATCACGACTTGCGCAATATACAAAAGGTGGGTAAATGCAACAGGTGCATTTAACGAACCTGCAATACATTTCAGTGGGCGGTACAGTTGTGCTTACAGCGTTATTATATCTTTGACGAATGCCTATACACATATACTTTTCACTGACTAAAGAAAAATCTAGACTTTGCATGCAAGCGAGCGCGAACAAAGACGAACGAACAATTTACTTTAATGTAAATGGGCAATATCAAATTCGTTCACTGATAAAAAAATATTCTAAATTTAATAAATCATTTGTTAAAATAGTACTAAACTAAATATAAAAATATATTTATTTAATATGAGAATTATTAATTTGATTTGAATAATTATTTTATTTAGCAAATATTTAGTTACTGTAAATATTTAGTTGGCACTATTTAAATAAATATTATATTGATTAAATTTTCTTACTATTACACGAATATTTTTAAAAAATAATATAAAATATTTTTTACGCCCAAATTATTACAGAATAACAAAACTCCCGTTAAAAAATTTTTCTTTGTTATATTTGTATATAATCATTTGACAATGTTGGTGGGAATGGTTTATAAAAGTAAATTTCTCATGTGCAAGTAACAATGGATCTATTACAGATTTTCCGCCGCCGTGGAAGGAATTTTACAGGAAGTATGTTTACTAGAATTCGCCAGTTCTATATTTACAATGTGTTTACCTGAATATTATTGTATAGTGGTGCGTTTAAATATATATATATATTTAAAAAAAAGCCAATGTGTTCTTTAAATCCTATATAGATTGAATTATTTATTAAAATTTTCAATAGGACTGGGAAGACAGCGATACAGTAGGGCTAACAACTTATTTTCTGCTCTTTGTTTCATTTTGCTTCAACATGTATATATTATGTTACATTGGAGAACAACTCGTGGAGAAGGTATATTTAGACTTTAATTCATACAATTAAACATTTGAATTCTGTAACGTTTAATTATGTGATTTTCGCGAGCATAAAACTGTAATGAAAAATGGGTGAAATTCAGAACACACATGTCGAACATTTTACGCAGATTTAATATTTTAGAGCAGTCAAATTGGAACGAGGTGCTTCATGATACGTTGGTACCAACTGCCGGCAAAGTCGGTTCGCAGTCTAATCTTAGTAATCGCTATGTCCAGCCATCCTATAAAGATCAGTGCTGGCAGAATGATAGATTTATCACTAGCGACATTCGGAAATGTAAGAAGTTGCGAGGCGTTTACGCGAAATCAATCTAATGACAAAAAAATTTTAAAGAAATAAATCGATATTCCAAAATTACTCGTACTTGTTTGAAAATGCTTTTACTTTTTTTGTATGTACTCTTAATAAAAGACTGCACTATTATAAGAAACTATAAATTACGAGAAAGTATTGCATTTTAATGCAATTTTTTTATTAGGTACTCAAAACAAGTCTGGCGTACCTAAGTTTTCTTCGAACGTTAGTAGTATGAATATAAAAATGCTACGACAAATACGCAAAAGAATAATATCAAACATGACGACTCCACGATAGAATTCTTATAGATCAAACGTGAGCATTTTAGTAAAATAACAATGACATAATATTAATTTTGCATATCTAAGGTGACTCACTTTAACTTTGACAATTATAATATTATAATAAAACGGGCAAATAAGAGCTATTACACGGTTTTTATTTGTGTATGTTACTCAAATAATTCTTATTTATTCTTGACATTAATTGACAGCTGAAACGTCGATTAATATTTGTACATATCAAGAATAAATAAGAATTGTTTGAGTAACATACATAAATAAGAATCGTGTAATAGCTCTTAATTGCCCGTTTTATTGTAATATTTTTTAATATTGAGAGCTCTGTAAATACTGTTGTTTGCCAAATATCTCAAAATTCGTAAGTTTTAGAAGAAAACCTTATAGAGAAAAGTCGTATAATCTCAAGAAAAATAATGATAAAATTAATTTCCGAAAAAAAATCAATTTTTCATTATCATATGAAGGTGATCATTGCCATTTTTTAAAATGGAATTATATAATTTCTTTCATAATATATAGATTCCTCTAATTATACTGCATCTAAAAACATTAAGGTAAAATTGACAAAATTTAATAAGTTACAAGATATTTTATATAAAACGTTTTCTTCTAAAAGAGGATGTTAAAAAGAGGCTGATTTTGTCTCACAAAGGTGTAAGTAAAAGTTATAGTATTTTTAATAGATTTTGACTTCGTGAATACGATAATGTTAATAAAAAGTTCGGGATCGATAGGGAACACCTTGAAAATTGAGCATGAACATGATATATTTAAACAAATTTCAAGGTGTTTCCTATCGATCCCGAATTTTTTATTAACAATTATCGTATTCGGAAAGTTGAAATCTATAAAAAAATGCTATTCCTTATCTTATATCTTTGTGGGCAAAAATAGGCCTCTTTTTAACATCCTCCATTATGGATTTTGAGATATATGACTGACAAAGTTGAAGTAGGAAACCCTGTATATATAATTATTAAAAAATTTAGAAAATATTTATTGAGTTAAAAAGCGATACAGATTCATAACGATTTAACAATATTATAACTAATGTTACCATATTCTATCTTTGTCCAATAGGAATTACGTAATGATGGGATAACTACGCCAGATGTCAGCCGACAGCTGATGATTTTTACCGATTGCTGGTTAAATTACTGCTGTCAGAGAAGCACGAACTGACAATGATGCTTTCCATGAACAACAAAACAAAATGTGATTGAAATATGATTAATGTCCCAAATAAAAATATATAATTCGTGTAAATAAACAATTATTGTGACTGTTTGTATGAGAGTGTGAATGTAATATATCGGTGACTGTACTACAGTTTTTGCGATTATTGTTTTTATTTTGCCTAACCTCTCTATTATATTGCGCATTTATCTCACGTAAGAAAAATTTATATAATTTTATAATATTTTAACTTACTAAAAATGTACATACTTATTATAAAAACGAAACAAATTAGTATATAAGACTGATAATACGACGTAAATTAATCAAATGTGATTTAACAATACAGTATACAATCTACAAAGTTTTTTCCAACAGAAACTGTGTATATTGTGAAAATGTAAAAGCATCTTAATTCCTTTCAGTACCATCTTTTAATATATACCAGACAAGATTTATAATTGTATTAAGATATCAATACGTTAATAAATTGATGTGAAAATTACTGCCGCAAAATGTCTGAGAAAACGACGGTTGGTGGTATTCCTGTGGAGTGTTTAACTGGAGAATCAGCTGCAATATGGTCTGGCTGGCGTACATTAGGAGACAGAGAGCTTGTGAGAGAAGCTTCTGCCAAGGGGACTCATATTAAACTAGCTCACAAATGTCTTGCACATAGAAGAAATTGTTCTGTAGAACAAGCATGTACATATTTTAACAAAGAAGTAGATAATTGGGTTGACGAGTTATTAAACAAAAAGCAAGTTCACAGAGCTTCACATGTTCTAAAAAATATGGTGTGTTAAACATATTAATATATTTTTTCCAAGACAGATTATAATTAATAAAGTTTTAGTGATAACTAAAAAAATAATATATTTATATAGACGATAATTTTTGTTTATAGGAAAAGGATCCCATGGAACATATTTACGTTATTTCTATAAAAAGTAAGGATTCTCTTTTAAGGGACTATTTATGCGAATATATGATAAATATTAATGGATTCAAAAATGAACATATTGCAGCATGGAATATTATCAAGTCAATTAAACAGTATGAAGAAAAATGCAAGTAAGTTTGTGAAGATAAAAAATATAGCACATAGGAAGGAAAAATATATTATCTTCTTATTTTAGAATTCAAAATGGATTAAGTTCTTGTATATGTATAGACGACATGATGAAATTACCACAGAATATTGAAGAAGCTTTACGAACTGAATTATATTTTTCTTTGAACGATCCAGAAATTTTAGGAAATGTGTCAAATAATATTTTGTGGGATTATTTATTGTCTAATAATAAAATTAATGCATTAAAGATGTGGATTGATACGAAGTATAACCCAGACGGTTCACCAATCTCAGATAAAATTGATCCTCATTTGAAATCATTGTTTACGAATTTAAATGTTACACCTGATATGGTTGACTATATAGATTCTTCAAATGCTGGTGATCTTGTAAAAAATCTAGCTAAAAATCATTTATGCAGGTATGCACATAATAGTTGTATAATAATTAATATTTAATATTAATCTATACTTTCTTTGCCGGTTTAATGATAAATTGTAATAAAAAAATATCCAATTTTTTAATTTTAGATACGGCATTTTTACAAAAGAAGAAAAAAATGATTTGCAATTGATATTAAATCGTTCCTTTGGCTGTGGTATTACATTGGAAGAACTCAGTACAAATATATTATCCTTAGCTTCCAGTAACATTAATAAAACGGAGTTTTTGCAAAATATTGATTATCAACTGTGTCTTATAGATTGCTCGCAAAACTGTCATACTCAAGAAGACACTTTAAAACTTAAAAAATTCTTCAACGTTTTAACTGATATGTGCAATGCTCGAGATAATTACGAAGATGCGTTAATATACGGAATTGTGGGCTCGATTGATTATCTCTCAGACGATTTTAATGATTATCTGAAAACAAATTATTTAGTAAGCTTAACATTAATATTTTTGCAATCATGGCAAATGCGGAATGCGTTGTGTGATAACGCAAACTCTTTAGAGAAGAATACGTTAATGAGAGATATATTTACGAACAAGACTGTTTTAAAAATCGACACACGTGTTATTTCCCAAGAAGTTCTTCAGTGCACACTTAGGCATGTACCGGAGCTGCGATATATCATCGAAGATCAAAGTAAAAAAGATGATATTACAGTATATGATTTATTGGATGGCTATAGAAATTTGAATTCGAAATCTGCATTTAAGTGGCGTTTCAAGAATGAGCCTATGCCTACTTTCACAAACGAAAAACTCGTTAAGAAATATGGTCATCAAGAAACGCTAACATACGGTTATTATCTGAAAGAAGGCAGGCCGAATATGGCTGTACACCATTTACACGCTCAAGCGAAGTTACTTGGAAATGTATCTTCCCATAGGTTCGTATTCTTATATTAATGTTATATAATGTTCATTTTGTGATCGTTAATAATTAAAACAAATTTTAGGAAATTTAAAGCGGCTTTGTACGCGCATGTTCTTGCTTTGAGAAATTTAGATAAATCTGATATTGTATGCAGCTGTATTGCGTTCGTCGAGTTGTTGAAAATCGACTCGAACAATTTACGATTACACGTAACTGTGGCAAAATATGTACAAGAGCAGTTACATATTTCTATAGGTAATTTAGTTTGTAATAACTAATATGACACTCTAAAAATTAACTATGTCGATGTAATTCTTACTGTATAGGTGTTAATATTAACACCAATATGATGTGGACTTAATACCATGGGTTTTAAATCCACACTATGATGTTGATATAAACACCAGAAATTTGAAATCCACACCAGAGGTGTTAAATTCATACTGATATTCTTTATTATATAGGGAACCTATTGGAAAATGTAGTGCATAAGAATCAAACTGATTTAAAAACTGTGATGTTGTATCTAGAACAGAGCTTCCAAAAACATTTAGTGGATAAAACTTTCGATAATGCGCAATTTGTCGAAACATTGAAAACATGGGACATCATCGTATGCTTTGCGCGTGTTCACAACTGTACGTTACCCGAGATATTGTTGAAGTATTTAGCAGATCATGACTTATGGTTCGAATTCGTTGCAGTCTGTGATATATTCTCTTACCCCAAAACCCAGGTACGAAACAATGCTGATTAAAATAAAGTTTGCGTAAAAATGAAACTCAAATCGATCACGTGCTAGGTGCTAGAAAACGCCAAATTGTTCAATAATGCGAACATACGGGAACATCTATTAACGTGTTTAAGCAACGATAAACTTAGCAAATCTCAACCATATAACGAGAAGACGAAATCTCAAGACACAAGGCAATCGTCATCAAGGCAGCATAAAGAAGTTGGAACGAAAGAAAATGTAAGATTTTGCTGGTGCTTCTTAATAATTTTAATTCCTGTATATAAACAATACCATTCTCTAGAAATCTCCAAAGTCCACTTTAGCCACGTCGGAAATTGAGACAGACACAACTAGTGCCAAAGATATTCCTAACAACTGTACCTCGACTTCTTCAGATAATAACTTATGGTTAACTATATTAAACTGTCATCAAAGTCAAGATCCACCTAGAACATTAATTAATGCGTCTCGATCAAATTTAAGACCTCTATTGACTGTCTTAGCTACGTGTTACGAGGTATTATTTTATTCCGATTGAATAGTGATCAGATTTTATTGATCTTTCGTTTAAATGATTTAAAAATCTCATGTTAATAGCCGTCCTCTGTAGTAGCATATTGCT